GAAAATAGAGGAAAAAAATTCTGCCTCTTCCTACCAGGTATTCATCTGGCTAGCGTCCTTAGCCTGGTCAGCTTCAGCACATTAGTTTGCTGGTTGTGAGCGTGTGTGTTGGGGCTGATGAGCAGCTTCAAAAGCACAGCTGATCATTGGAGGGAGCTCCAGTGAATAAAACAGGTGAAGCATGGAAGTGGTAAGACAAAGCAGCAACTGTTCCGGGTTGCCATTTTGGGCTCCACGCCTCATATTTTCAGCCTCCAAAACGCTCCATTTGAGAGGCTCCAGGGATCACCAAAGCACATCACCGCCAATCACTGCCTGAAAATGCGATGCGCAGAAACACGCCAAAAACAGGGTGTGTAGAGGCCGAAAATACAATGCGCAGAGGCGGCGATTGGCGGCAATGTGTTTTGGTGATCCCCGCGGCCTTGAACACCCCTCAAACGGAGTGTTTGGAGGCTGAAACCGCGAGCCACAGAGCCCAAAATGCAAGTCATTATCTGACAATCTCTGCAGCCAGGAAGAGGATGCGTGGAGGCCAGTGGGTGGGGGTCAGCAGGTGGGCGAGGCTACATTCGGAGTATAAGATGTGGCCAATTTTCAGCCTCTTGGGGGGGGAAAGTGTGTCTTATACTCCGAAAAATATAGTAACTGGTTTCACACAAAGTAAATGGATTTAATATGAATTAGCTCCATGTGTATTGATAAAACTAGCTTGATTGAAGTATTCACCTCTAAAACTTACATTTTTTTCAGTCCAACCCTCTGGAACAGCCACCTAATTGTAAATATCTAAAGTACTTAAAATCAGCTTGTATTCCCCCACTACCATCACCAACTTCGTTGTTTTTGATGTTGGTAGTGGGCGAAATAAGTTTATCTACTTACTAGTCCAGGGGTCAGCAACCTGCGGCTCTGGAGCCGCATGTGGCTCTTTAACCCCTTTTCTGCGGCTCCCTGTCATTCAAAATATGCATCACAACTGCCAATGTGTGACACCCGTCGGCATGCGATTTATTGAGCTTTTCAACCCCCGGTAGGCCAACCATGGATACATCCAAGAAAAGAAAAGTTTCAGAAGAAAACAGAACATTTAATTCTACTACATATGATAGTTTTGTGGTCGCTCAAGAAATATTCAGGCACAGGAAGGGTTTTGTAGCTTCCAGTGTTTTATTTTCTGTGGTCCAAATGACTCTTCAAGTGTTTAAGTTGCAGACCCCTGTATTAGCCTATCTTAACAGGTAAGAAATCTCTTGCCTTCTCATAAAATAATCTTCATTGATTGTGTCAGCTTCAATTGTCTTAATCCTCTTAAAGTTGACAGCTGTTTCAAACATGCTTATTAAAAACTGCTGCCTTCTATTATTGCCGTTTCCTACAGTAAGAAAAGTAATTATCTTAAAAGCTTGTTGTAAATACATTCAAATTTACAGCCCCTGAAGGACTTTTATTTTTAGAAAAAAATATTTTTACAGAGAATAAAAACTTCTAACTTGACCCCCCCCCCCCCCAACAAAAAAAAAGATTTTGTATTTACTGATCTTTCTCTTGTAGCTATGGTCAACTGGCAGTCATGCTTATAACTGTTAGAAAAAACTGCAAAGAATGAATTCCAGCAGAACAAGATAAGAATTTCATATAAAACTAGTACAATTTGATCACTGTATTCACAACTTGGCTACTTTGTCACATCACATACTTAAACACTTACCATGTTTACATTAAGCATAGTTTGACTGTTGGGCACTGCCAGGACAACAAGATTACCCATTCACAATATCGGTAGAGGAGTTTTTATGCCTTGCAGGAATTGGGGTTGGTGCTATGCAACAGTGTGATTCAAAGGGGAAAAGACAATTTGGAGTACGTGAGTGTTGATATAGCACATATTGGCAACTCATGAGGCCTTGAAAAAGTCATTTTGATTTAAGGAAGTAGCAACAGTAACTGCAATCCCACAGCATTGTGTAACCCTTAAAGAGTCTGGATCATTGCAATCCTTTATTATTAAGGAAATATTCTGTTCAACAAAAAAAAATCATGCTAAATTATTAAAGTGTTGGTCATGACAGTTGAAAAATAATGCCTTTGACCCAAATCTTGCATTTTTTGCTTTGCATATCTAAAGGCAGGTGGTCCTCGATTTATGACCCATTTGTTTAACAATGTTTAAAGTTACAACAGCCTGAGAAAAAAGTGATTCACAACCTAAACTTGAAGTTATGACTGTTGTACCACCCTCGTGGTCACATGATTATATTTTGGGTGCTTGGCAACTGGCTCACGTTTATGACCAGTTACAGCATTCTGCAGTCATGTGATCATGATTTGCAATCTGCCTAGCTGGTTTCTGGCAAGCAACTTGTGGAAGCCAGATTTGCATTATGCATATCTGCATAATAACCATATGATTTACTTCACAACTGCAGTAAAAACGATTATAAAATGGAGTCCTGTGACAATGACTTACTGACCACGTTGCTCAGCAACCAAAATTCTGGTCCCAACTGGTACGTCGAGAACTATTTGTGAGAAATAAATATAAACTCTATTCAGCCAGATGAAATCTGTTGGATTAAGTAACTATTTCAACTTGTCTTTTACTAAATATTAACAAAAAGCAGTAAGATATATCTGGATTTACAAATTTCGATTAATCTGCTTAGTGTGGAAAAGAAGGCATCTATTTCCTTTTTGTATGCCACCCACAGTTGCTTGACTGTGATGAGCAGTGTATAAATTTAATAAGTAAAAATAAAAGTAGAAGAAAGAATGAAAGTTGCTTGTATAAAAGAAACAACTACTAAAATGGGCGAGTTAAGCAGTGACAACTAATATTGTATTTTTGGACTAAAAATTTTTTGGCACAAGGCAGATTCTTCTAATAATGAGGCAACATTAAAAATTAGCCTTTGGAAATGTTGCTAGTTCCTACAATAGAATTAACTGGATTATTTTATTCTAAAACAAGCTCTATATAGCAAGAAATGCTATAAGACAATTTCCTTGAACTGTTAAGAGTTCAAGAAATCACCAACTGAGTAATGACAGAACGAATAGGTTGGATGCTAAATGCAACATTGGGAGAAAGTCGTTCTTGTTAAAATGAGTACATGAAGGATACAAGGAGGTTATGGAATGATTTAAGGCACTTAAATGTGTTCAATAACTTAAGATTCTGCTGTCAGTTACAGAATCAGGCTTTTCTAATGCTGTAATCTGAAACACTAAATTTAAAAAATAGCTTTGAATTTCACAGCATGATGCATCCTTGTATAATACACAGCTGAAACCACCTTCACCACTAATCCTTTCACACATTTTCTTTTAATCTTGTTCTAGAACAGGGGTGTCAAACTCACGGCCCATGGGCTAGATGTGTCATGTGCTGGCCCTGCCCCCACCCGGTTTAGCGAAGGAAAAGTCCCAATACGTCACGATACAAATTTGATACCCGTTCTAGAAGAACTTTAACACTTGAACAATTCAGTGAGAAGCATGCACAATGGTATGCACATTATATGGGTACTTTATTCAAAGGGACATGTGCTTCAGATTTGGTGGCAAAGAATGTGGGGCACATGGAGATGCAAGGATAGGAATTGGTCTGCAACTCTTTACCCTACACATCTTTTCTCAGTTAATGTAGCTGCTGTAGGTAAGCTAATGCTGGTGCATTCTTTAAGAAAACAGCTTGTGCTTTAAGGAGTAGCAGGCAACTGCTGTTTTTGGGTCCTGTGAACTCCAACCCACCCTTTTGCCTTCATATTTGAAACACTGAATAGCCCTAGTAAGTACAGCTAGGATTATAATGTGTATCTCTAGTCTTGGGAAAATGGCATTGTGAATGAATTTGAATAATTCTGTGCATTACCATTTGGCAAAGTTATGTATGATCTTAATTTTTTAATGAATGTCCTGATTTTAGGTCTGAAATGGCTACCTGTATATGCAGTTTAGTAACCTTATGGAAACGCTGGTTTCATATTTGCTTTCATGCTGGATTACCGAGAACTGGACAGGAACAGATCTGATGTAGTTACATTCTCAACTCTCTTCACATACCCCAACTTCAGAGGTTGGCCCTCCAAACCCGACAGCTTTCCTTTAGAAGCCCACAGATGTCACAAAAAAGAAATTGATAGATGTTGACTGGTGGATGCTGGTGGAAGTGAGCCTTGGAAAGCCAGTCAACAGAGCTATATTGATATTCATAGACTGAAACTGAAAAGGATGAATGGATCCAAAAGGGCAGCTAGAGTGGGCATCCGTTTGGGAATGCCCCACCTCACCCAGGGTCCTTTCACAGTACATTTTTTCAACGTGGTCAAGGCAAGTAGGTGATGTAGTTGCAAACTGAGATGTCTAGCATTCATGCTACTTCCTTCAAATTCTCCAAACTGAGAAGGTTGGGTGCATTCGAATACATGTGCTATAATTTCAATTGTGAGGAATGTTTTAGTCTCCAAGGCACTATAGCCCAAACTGAGTTTCAAAATGAGACGACATTATAAAACAGCTTTATAGGATTTTAAAATTTAGCCATTATATGTGAGGATTAGTATTTTTTCTCCATATACATATAGCATTTGCCATAAGAGGTAAATTGCATTTATGCTACCATACTTTGCAGAAGGAGGGGGATGGAAAGGCAGCATAATACTGCTAGATTCTGTTGCTGCCCACCAAACCCCCAACTTTTAAAAAAGGTTATAAATCATGAGGAAATGGCATTATCTTCATATATACAAAAGTCCCAGTGTGACCAATAAACATATCTAGAAAATGAAAATAGTGGATGGATGGAACCAAGTATTTCCCTGAAGTTTAGGCCATCAATCCAGGAAAAAGCTGGCATTTAGGCATAAAATCTTGTCTATCTGCATTCTATTAAATATATATTCTCTACTGAGCCGAGCCAAGCTCAGCATAGCAACCACTTTTATAAAGATAGTTCTTGGCAGTCATTCTATTTTTTTTTAATAATAATTATTAATCTGTTTTTGAATGGTGTATACTGCCCAGATTAAATTTTAATGGAAGAGACTTACAAATGTTAGAAATTACAATTAAACTCATGCCAGGCATGATCAATCTGGCCATGAGCTTTTTTTTTCAGGCAAGGCTAAGAGAAATGCAGTCATAAGATTTCCCAGTTTGGGATGCAGAAGCTTTTTAGTACTCTCCAAGGGGAAAATGATTACTTTTTCTCCGGCGTGAAAAGTTGACAGCAACGTTAGCATTTTCTAAAGAATTCTTTTAAAGATGCTAAAGAATACAATAAAGAACTTTAAAAAAAATAAAATAAAAAGGCATCTCCGCATAGCTGGCAGCTTTTAAAAGCAGAAGCATTTTGGCCAGATTAAAACGAAATATCGCTGGATAAAGCGACGCAAATTCGGCCAGACGTGGTTTTGACACGGTGAAGCCGGATGCTCGATCCCAAGAAAAAATCCGGAGCCGATTCTTCTGACGGGTCCCCAATAGTTGTTCTACGTTTCTTTGGGTTTCTTCTCCCAGTTACAGGTACCAGAGGATTAAAAGAAACTCCCTTCTGAAGCAGGCGTTTCGGACTCAACGACCTCCTTCAAATTTCGGAAAAAAGCCGAGGCTTCATCAAACGCAAGAAGGCGCCTTTCGCCTTCATTATTAATATATTAATATATTAATAATTAATATTTATAGTCCAAATGGCCTCTCGTTTGGCCCCCAAAATTACACTCGTGCAAAAAAGGGGGAAAAAAAGAAGAGGAAAAAAAAAACTCCCTTTAAAAAAAATCTCTTTCAGAGGCCCCCAAAATTACACTCGTGCAAAAAAGGGGGAAAAAAAGAGAAGAGAAAAAAAAATAAAAATTCCCTTTAAAAAAAATCTCTTTCAGGCCGCACCCTCCCTCCCTCCCTCCCTCCCTCCCTCCCTATCTATAAAGTCCAACAACACGGCACCTGCAACCCATCCTCGTTCACTTCACTAACCACCGACATCCCCGAAGCTAGAGCGACGCTCCTTTGCCAAGGGACGCTTCCGTCTTTTAAGCGGAAGTTTGGCCGCGAGACGTCGCGCCGCACTTCCCTTTGCCCGTGTCCTTGGTGGTTCTCGGCGGAGGCCAGGAAGCGATTGGTGGAGCCGTCAAGATGTTTCGAACCCTTTTGGTACGTTGGCGGGGGCGGGGGGGGGGGGAAGAGAGGGGACACAAACGTTCTCTTGGGGAACCGTTGAGAGGAGAGCAGCCGTTGGCTAGGAAGAGCGGTTGGGGTGTGTGTGTGTGTGTGTGTTTAAATATTCCGCCTTTCGTTGGGGCCCGAGGGCCAGGATTGCTCCTCTCTGGTCCCCCGCTTGATTATAACCGTATGAAGCCTCAGAGGGGACAGCTGGCTTGAAGGTGACTGAGGCGATGGCGGATTTTTTATGGTGGCTTCCCGGTCTTGGAGCCAGCGCTAATGTTTGGCGAGTACCGCTGTGGGACCCTTGTCTTGTGGGGGTGCGGAGTGAAAGAAGAGCGCCCCGGTGAGGATGGTTGAAGGGAGCGAAGCGCGAATCAAGCCTCTCTCTCCCATTCAGGGGGGTACGAGGAAGTCCTCTGACTTACCAGGGTTCGTTCAGTGACCGCTCGAGGTTACAAAGGCACTGGAAAAAGTGACTTACGACCGTTTTTCACACTGATGACCGTTTTTCACACGTTGCCGCATTCCCCATGGTCACGTGGTTTACCCTCGGATGTTTTGACAGCTGGTTCACATTTATGACGGTCGCAGTGTCCCAGGGTCACGTGATCCGCCTTTTTGCGACCCTCCGACAAGCAGAGTCAATGTTAAGGGAAGCCAGATTCACTTAACGATGGTGTGGCTAATTTAACAACGGCAGCGATCCACTGGACAAACGTGGCAAGAGAAAAGGGGGCAAAACTCGCTTAACAAATTCCTCACTCCGAGACATAAATTCTAGCTCAGTTGAGGACTACCTGTACTTTCCTATCCCTTGGTTAGGCTGACACAGATTTAGATGTGGTTTGAAATTTAACAGGATTCTGAGGGCTAGTAAAATTTAAGAAGCAACAGTAAGGCCAAATGTAAGATAAGAATGATTATCTCCAGCAATAAAAGTAATTGGTGATCCTATTTTTTCAAATGATGCTATGCTAATTTAGAAAATTTAGTATAAACTGTAATATTCACAGAGGCAGTATAGACCCTTTATAAATGATGACAGTAGAGATGAACATTATGTTGGTGTTGATAGACAGTAACCACTTCGAGCCTTCCTACTATTGTTTTTGCTGTGATCACTAACTCAATCTGCATATGCTATAACAGGTAGATTTTGGAGGGAGAGTGTACTTCTGCACATGTGGCTTTTTTTGAATTCCGTAATAATTATAGTATCATCCTTTGTATATTAATGCTGTCATTAATTATGGTGGGTTCATGCTGGAGTCTCTGCATTGATTTTGTTACACAAAATATATATTTGTATTTCTGTTGTAGACTGTACGGCAAGTAGCACAAAGCCCCATAAACTTCGCCTCTCGCAGGCAGCTTGCTAACAGGATTGTGGAGAAGCAGAAACATTTCCAGGTACCAGCTTCCTACTCTGAGAACAGATAAATTTAATGGAGCATTGATATCATTCCTGCACATTTTTAAATAAAATGAGCTGATTCAAGATATTTTATCAGTAATAATATTATTGGGTAATAAAGCTATCATGGCTTTTTTCTTAAATTTCATTCTTATGCTATTCCAAAATCTAGAATTATATGGAGATGAATATACGGTATGTATAATTATCAGCATATATGCATGTCTTGGTATGTATAAATAAAAATTACCACTTTTAGGTAAGAAAAATTCAGGCTTCTAAATTATAAAGGCACCCATTAAAATAGTTTATAACAATTTAATTCATTGTTTTATGGTTACTAGGTATCATAACCAGGAATTAAAACTAAGCTTGTTTAATGAGTTCAGTAGATAGCTATACTTCAATGTTGGGTCATTCTGAATGTCTACATTGCTATTAAGTAACTGAAATATTAATGCTGTTTATTCTAAGATTTACACTCTAGTATTGACAGCGACGTCGCTTTGTCACAGTATGAACATTGGCAGCTGGATGTATTTTTACCATTAAAAACCATTTTTCTGTATCCTTAATATTTTAGTCTCAATTGACACTCCATAATTACAATCATACAGTCTCTCACATTACCTCTTTGATTTGTAAAATCCACCAATTGTCTATGTTAGATCAAAACTTATCTTTTGGAAAAATACTTGCTGTATATCAGTTCCTCAGGCATTCTTAATTCAAGTTAAGATTTTGAGTTGCAGGATTTGCTATGCTATAATAACAGGTGCAAAGAAGGAGACAGTGCTTTTGTATTTTAAGCCTATTTTCAACAGATCAAGATTTCATTTTGGATGTTATAACTACGGCTGCAGAAATTTAATTTTCTTGTTGAGGAGAAACTTGATTTGTAGAAGCTAATCCAAAACTAATATATGAATACTGAGTTTTGTGTCATTGATTTTAGGAAGATAATGGCCTTCCAGTGCATTTGAAAAATGGAATGCCAGATGCTCTGCTGTATCGAACTACCATGGCTCTTTGTCTTGTTGGTAAGTTTTAAGTATAAGCTAAGCTGTTTTAGCCTCCTAAAATTTTCTCTAGAATCTACCCGTCTCTATTTAAATCCAAAGTAGATAGAAATGTTCTAGGTTTCTTTTAGTTGAACAAATACAATTTAAGTATTGTAATTAATAATTAATTAAAATATTTAATGTCAAAATTATTTTGTAAAGTATTCCCCTGATATTGATACTGTATTTATATAACAACCTTTTGTTATGTAAAATCTTTCATATTATTCAGTGTAATATGAGAGAGAATGTATTACCTCGTCCTTTTAATCTGATTTTAAAATTGTTTTCAGAAAAAAACTATATTATAAATATTTGACTGGGTTGCCTTTTCGGGATGTTCTTCATCTGAATGTTTGTCTTACAGGACATAATTCAGATATGTAACTATTCCTACTACAGAAGATTTAAGTCTCCTTTTGTTCAATAGGAAAAAAATGAATACCATTTTAAAAAAATTTAGACTTATTTGCTGTTGGCAGTATTTGACCCAATCTCTCTCTATCAATTTTGAAATGTACTTCTGTTTTGACATTTACATTTTAAAATGCTTGGTTTTAATTGTTTAGTGCCTATTGTGCTGCTTTTAAATTACAATAAAAGTGTAATTAGCAAAACGAACAAATTTACAGTGTTTTAAAATACTGTTTTAAAGCTTAGAGGTTTGGGTAATTAATTTTTTAAATAAATGTGCTTTAAGCTTTATTGAGACTGGACCCTTTAAAACCAACCTTTAAAATGTGAGAAATAATGGAATGAATAACTTTTCTAAAACCTTTTAATCTGGCATCTCTGCCTTTAAAACAACAGTGAAAGGGTCTGTGTACATCTCTGTTGTATTTTAAGGGAACTACAATTGAGCATAATATATTGTCTTTCTTATCTTCAGGAATTGGCTATGTCTTCTATAATTTGTACGAAATAGGAAAGCCAAAGAAATAATTCCAGTTCAGAAGATGCATCCTGGAATAGCATCGCTCTGTTCCATTCCATTACACTCATCAGGGACTTGTCCTTGTCATAAATACTTGATTTTGTGTTTGGGAACAATATTTGTTAAAAATGTAGTAACTGCTGTCAGTAAACTAGTTTGGCCTGAAGGATATATTTGCAACTGTTAAAAGTTTATTTGTTGAATTTTGTATTTGTTGCAATTGCTACTGTTTGGTTGCAAAAATAACTAATAAATATGTGATAATTTAACTTCTTGCCTAGTTTGTAGTTAAAAATATATATCAAAATGTAAATAAAAAATGTCCTAATAATGTAAGAAAAACATAATCTGAGGATCAAGCTAATTCGCTACTGCTAATGGAAAAATGCTATCAGTGGAATATGTAGTGGCTGCCATTTTTAGCAGTTTCCTCTTTGACCTCAAATCGGCTCTGCGGGTAGACTAGAAGACGAGCAGCTGTACTTGTAAGAGGAGAAATTTGATCTACCTGTCCTAGTTTGGATGGGACAATTTGGTTAGAGCAGACCTGGACATTTTACAGCCCACGGACCACATCCAGTGTTTCAGCTATCCCTGTCTGGCCCGTGGCGCCGGGGGGAGGGGGGGCACCAGGGGTATGGGTAGGGGCATGTGTGTGTGTGTGTGTGTGTGTTTGCAGGGGTGTGTGGAAGTCCCAGTTTCCCATGTGGTCTTTGGGAAAATTAATTTCCCTACCTCCGGGTTAGAGGATAGCAATGTATTAGACTTCATCTGGAATCTTGGTTTGAAAAGTATTATTAAGATCACTGAAAATATATTGAAACTGAACTCTGCATGTATTATTTCAGTTTTGTTTATTTGTAGGCTAAGAGCATAAAAGAAAATACTTTATTGCCTATTAGTTATATCTGTCCCTAATGGTATAGCATTTAGAAGTTGTGAAAGCTTTATATTTAGACATAAGCATGTATTGAAATGTATGCTTCCTGCTATAATTTATAAAACACCTCACAGATACACATTTGATTGGGACAATTATGACCCAGAATGTAGCATGAACTTGCTAACTCAGACACTGCTATTGCAAGAAAGGGGCAGTTGTAATTTAAAATTGCTTGGCAAATTATGAGTTTATAGAAAACTGGACAATGTCTTAGCCTTAGACCTTCAACAACGTGGGACAAGCATAGAAGTTCTTCATTGCAAAGGAGAACTTATTACCAATTGCGCTTTCTAAACACTTTCTGGCTGTAATGCCTGAACAATACCCGATGTTGCTCCCTGACTAGTAGAGGAAGAGATTACTTCAATGAAATACCTGTTGTAGAGGAAATGGGATATCAGAAGAAAGTAGGTAGGAACTCTAGTTCCCTAAAATGGTATACATATCAGTACCAATATATGAACAACTATGATGTTTTT